CAACCCTTCACCCCAACATTCTCACTGATATCAAGTGTTAATATTTTTGAGTACAGTAATTTTTTAATATTTTGCTTCTTTTATTGAATTTTTTTTGTGGGTTATGTTCATTAGATGCGTTTAAAAGTCTTATAGATTAGTTATATCCAACGAATTTCAGGAGTTGCCTTAACTTTTTTAAAATTATATGTTTTTTCTTTTAATTCAATGGTCATGTTTTGCCAAGGTGACCCAAAGAAGAAAACACATTCACCAACATTCACTTAATTGCTGTCTTTCCAGAGGTGTGCTGACATCACAGTCAGATTACCTTCCAAATGCAGTATACCCCCACTGCCTTTCAAAGTTTGGGCACTACCTGTAGTGTAAGCACCCCTCTGGCAAGACAGTGATGGAGTGATTGATGGTGAAAGTTTTTCTTTTTGGGCCACCCTGCCTTGGTGGGAAACAACCGATGAGTTAATAAATAAATAAAAATTGTGGAAAAAGACACCTATGTACTGTTCAGGACATTTATTGTATTACTGTTAGTAGAATTACCGACAATATGTAAAGTAAAAGGACACAAGTGCAACTAATGTGACATTTTATTGTGGCAATGTTTCGCTCTCCAGGAGCTTTATCAAGCTATAATGGCTTGATAAAGCTCCTGGAGAGCGAAACGTTGCCACTATAAAATGTCACATTAGTTGCTCTTGTGTCCTTTTACCTAACAGGACATTTATTATAGGAAACTTTTCCTTTAATAAATGTCCTAAACTGTATGTGTCTTTTTCCACATCCTGTCTGTATCACCATACCATTTCTCATCCATTATCTTACCTCTTTGTTCTCTTACAATAGTTCTTTGTTGGACTTGTGTGATATCTAGCTAGTTATAATAATACTATCTTTATTTGCACGGTACATTTACAAAGTACAGTGGACCCCCGGTTTACGATATTATTTCATTCCAGAAGTATGTTCAGGTGCCAGTACTGAACGAATTTGTTCCCATAAGGAATATTGTGATTTAGATTAGTCCATTTCAGACCCCCAAACATACACGTACAAACGCACTTACATAAATACACTTACATAATTGGCCGCATTGGGAGGTGATCGTAAAGCAGGGGTCCACTGTATAGAGGCCTAGCTGACATCAGTGACACACTGCTATATAGAAAGCCCCTTGTTATGCAGAGCATTTTGGGCAAATTAGGTTAATTTTGTCCCAGGATGTGACCCACACCTGTCGACTAACACCCAGGTACTCATTTTACTGATGGGTGAACAGGGACAGCAGGTGTCTCATGGAAACACATCCTAATGTTTTCCAGCTGTACCGGGGTATCAACCCCAGACCTCAGTGTGTGAGCTGAGTGCGCTAATGATCGAGCTACTGGAATCACTTTTGATTGTGAGCATTATCTGCTATTTGTTATGAAGTGTCAAAATATGTTAGGTAATTGTGAATTATTTCAGATCTTGACTCATGAAATCGTAATGACACAATTGCAAACAAACCGTACCATCTGGACGGTCTGGAGTTTTGAGACTCTGACAGCGGGTTCAAACCCCACCCGTGGTATGATTTATTTCAGATCTTGGTCTACTTATGTGTCGTTCCACTACAGACCACTTGTTGCTTTCTAAATTAAGTATAAGTTTCGGCAATGTAATTATTTTCATCATCCTGTTCTGTTGGCTTTGACATTTAGCTGCAGGAAGTTCTAAGTTTATTGCTAAGTATTGTTTTTAAATTCCACTTCTAGCTGGCTGTCTACCACTGAGGTAGGCTGACCCAACAGATGAGAAAACACTTCACAGCCAGTCAGTCAGTCACACTGACATTAGTTCAGAAGACTCTCCTGACTGTAACATCTTCACCCCTCCTGAATGTAGGCACTATACTTCCCACCTCTACCTTCTTCAGAGTGCAGGCACTGTATTTCCCACCTTCAGGGCTCAGCATGACTAACATATTTCCCTGAATCCCTTCATCAATGTTACTTTGCTCACACTCCAACAACACTTCAGATCATAAAACCCACTTGCCTCCACTCCTATCTAACATGCTCACACAAGCCTGTTGGATGTTCAAGCCCCTATCACTCTATATTTCCCCCTCTCCCACCCACCTCCAACCTTTTTAGAGGATGAGACCCCCCTCCCCTACCCTGTCATCCCTTCATTTCACTTAACCTTTGTCACGGCCGTATGCATACGTCTTACGAGGTACCGTGTTTGACGTACATATGCTCATAATTCTAGCGGCTTCAAATCAAGCAGGAGAAAGCTGATAGGCCCACATGTGAGAGAATGGGTCTGTGTGGTCAGTGTGCACCATATAAAAAAAAATCCTGGAGCACGCAGTGCATAATGAGAAAGAAAAAACTCCGACCGTTTTTTTTTTTAATTAAAATGCCGACTTTGTGGTCTATTTTTGTATAGTATTTATGGTTGTATTCTCGTTTTCTTGGTCTCATTTGATAGAATGGAAAATATTTTATAGTAAAATCAATCAAAATCATCTCTATTTCTATAATATGTTTTCCATTCTATCAAATGAGACCAAGAAAACGAGACCTGGAAGTGGAGCTCAAAGTAGGGGAAATGTTTGATTTTTGCCCATGTTCAAAAGTAAACAAATGATGTCATTGTCCAATAAATGTCCAACTAGCCATTCTAATATGCTGTCATGAATGGGTTGATGTTATTTATACAATTATTACAGTATTGCAGTAGTCTGCATAATAGTAAGTCTTCTATTTTTTGTTTGAATAAAAATTCAAAATAGAAAGCAAGAGTAATATCAGAGGGGCCTGGAGACGTGACTGATGAACAAAGAAAATTTTATTTTAGAGCCAGGAATGTCTGCATTGTTCATTCTGGACCTTATTTTGAAATTGTCATATTTTTTAGTTTTTGTGAAATTGGCCAAATTGCAAATTTTTGACCTCATTATTAGGTAGTTGAAATCAGTAAATGGGCAGTTTCTTGTACTCAATCGATAGAAAAAAATAGAGTTCTAAAGAAATAGCTATGAGTTTGGGCGACTGGAACAATGGAATTAGCCGAAAATAGGGATCAAAGTGGGCGAAATCGCCGATTTGTAAACAGCGCCGAGGTCGCTAACTTCGCGAGAGCATGATTCCGTCAGTTTTCCATCAAATTTCGTTTTTTGGTGTCATTACAATTGGGAAAAGATTCTCTATCATTTCATAAGAAAAAATAATTTTTTTTTTTTAAATTTTGCGACACCAGGAGACACCTCAGGATTGGGGGTTGCGACAGTCAAAGGGTTAAAGTACTAACATCGCTGTGTCAACTTTTGCCAAAGTCATTTTGTTATTGGCATGTATTATTACCAAGGTCTTCTTGTCTGTGTATTTACAGTACACCTCTCCTCACTTAGCTACATAGTCGTTTACCGACACCTCGGACTTATGACCAGTATGCATACCTAAATAATGTATATTAGAGCTGATTTCCTCTATTCTGTTTATTACAATATACAGTAAAGTACAGTGGACCCCCGCATAACGATCACCTCCGAATGCAACCAATTATGTAAGTGTATTTATGTAAGTGCGTTTGTACGTGTATGTTTGGGGGTCTGAAATGGACTAATGTACTTCACAATATTCCTTATGGGAACAAATTCGGTCAGTACTGGTACCTGAACATACTTCTGGAGTGAAAAAATATCGTTAACCGGGAGTCCACTGTACTGTATAAACATTTAAGAATATATTAAAAATGTTATAAATGGTGCAAATGTGACATTAAAACAATATCAAAGATAGTCGACACAAACCCACTGTCATCATACTATGCTCCTCACTTACCGACGAATCCATTTACCAACGTGGTCTTAGGAACAGAATTCCATTGTTAAGTGAGGAGAGGCTGTATTCGCAAGGTCTACTTGTGTGTGTATTTACGGTACTTGATACAGAAGCAAGCAGAGGCAGGTGTTATTTTACGTATCGGTCAATCTTGCACCGCATACATTCCACTATCATCTCTGTTCAGAATAAAAATTTACAGTATCTTGGCCGAGGAGTCCACCAAATAGGAGAGGCACCTTATGATGATATTTTTTGTCTATTATGAACCACTGGCAAGTTACAGTGATCCAGGATGGACTGGAACATTTTCATAAGTTCCTCTCTAAGTGAGAGGTTTTTAGTGGGCTCTCTCTAAGCATTAAAGAGGAGAAGTACAGGTGATCGTTGACTTAAAATGGGGTTACATGCTGACAAACCCATCGTAAGTCCAGAACATATTTAGTTGACTATGTATGTGATATGCTAAGTAAATAACTTCACTCGATAAGTAAATAAATAATTACTGTAACTATGTAAATATTTCTTTTTAAAAGTAAATAAATATAAATTATGGACTTGCTGGGTAATTATCTTAAGTTTTAGTCTCCAAAGTAATTGCTTTTGTACCATCATAAGTCGAAATACTGTAAGTTGGACCATTGTAATGTTGAAAAGCACCTGTGTAAGTACAGTGGAACCTCAAAAATCGAACTGCTCCCAACACAACCAATTATGTAAGTGTATTTTTATAAGTGCTTTTATAAGTGTATTTTGAGGGTCTGAAATGGACTAATCTAATTTACATTATTCCTGATGGGAATAAATTCATTCAGTAAAGGCATTCGAACAGCCTTCTGGACCGAAAAAAGTTCGATATTTGAGGTTCCACTGTACCATATTTTGTGGCTTATAAGATGCGGCTTATAAGACTTGTTTTAGTTTCAATGGCTCGGCATCAGATGTAACTGGGAGAGCTACAGCCCATCCCACATCCCGAACTTATAGCTCCCGTCACTGACCTCCAGAGTATAGGACGCAGGCTGGTTTTTGAGGACTTTTAGGGGAAAAATGCGTCTAATAAGGCACGAAATACAGTATGTGACCTCCATCATATTGCCTTTATGGTCATGAATTGTTTTGGACATTCAAAAAATAGAAGGTGTATTTATTTTGTCATTTTCTCCACAGATTGAACCATGGCTCGGGGACATCAGAAAGCACAATCCCAAGAAAAGAATAAGCAGAGGCAAGCAGCAATGAAAAAGGCTGGACACAATGCCAATGAACAGAAAAAGGCTGCCATGAAGGCCCTGACATTTCAATGCCCTATATGTAGGGTAAGGGACCAGTTAGAACTGTAAGAGTAGAAGTAGTATATGGTACTAGTTAAGATGTGGGAGGTAATGTGGAAGTCACTGTACTGATAGTGTGGATAAGGTCAGGGGTCACACTGTCATCAGCTGGGTGTGGGAGGTAATGTGGAAGTCACTGTACTGATAGTGTGGATAAGGTCAGGGGTCACACTGTCATCAGCCGGGTGTGGCAGGTAATGTGGAAGATATTCCTGCACTGTTACAGTTTAAGTAAGGTTTGGTGTTGTTATTAAATATCTGCCATCCTCTTGTCCTCTACAGTACAGGCAGGCTCCACTTTACAGTGCTCCACTTTACAGTGCTCCACTTTACAGTGCTCCACTTTACAGTGCTCCACTTTACAGTGCTCCACTTTACAGTGCTCCACTTTACAGTGCTTCACTTTACAGTGCTCCACTTTACAGTGCTTCACTTTACAGTGCTCCACTTTACAGTGCTCCACTTTACAGTGCTCCACTTTACAGTGCTCCACTTTACAGTGCTCCACTTTACAGTGCTCCACTTTACAGTGCTTCACTTTACAGTGCTCCACTTTACAGTGCTCCACTTTACAGTGCTCCACTTTACAGTGCTCCACTTTACAGTGCTTCACTTTACAGTGCTTCACTTTACAGTGCTTCACTTTACAGTGCTCCACTTTACAGTGCTTCACTTTACAGTGCTCCACTTTACAGTGCTCCACTTTACAGTGCTCCACTTTACAGTGCTCCACTTTACAGTGCTCCACTTTACAGTGCTCCACTTTACAGTGCTTCACTTTACAGTGCTCCACTTTACAGCATTTTGCTAATACAGTGATTTTCAGTTATAACCATTCTTCATTTATTCAGACTTCCTACAATGAATATATTCACCAGTCACTATAAGCTAAGTATGAAAATATTTTAAGGTAAGTAATTTATGTTTATATACATTTTTTAGGTCTACCTCTATTGCTTATTTAATATGATAGTGTAAACTTGTTATCAGGCTTTTTTTTTTTTTTTTTTTTTTTTTTTTTCTCAGCAAGTTGGCCGTCTCCCACCGAGGCAGGGTGACCCAAAAAAGAAAGAAAATCCCCAAAAAGAAAATACTTTCATCATCATTCAACACTTTCACCACACTCACACATTATCACTGCTTTTGCAGAGGTGCTCAGAATACAACAGTTTAGAAGCATATACGTATAAAGATACACAACATATCAGGCTTTTATAATAATTTATAAAATACTGTTTCACTTTACAGCCATTTTTACTTTACAGCTGTAGCCCAGCTGTATAAGCAGGACCCGCCTGGATGATTAATTGCTTGTGTAGAGTTGGTAAATGATTGGTCTTTAATTGTCCATTTTTCTTGTGGGGGCAAGTGTTTGGATAAGTATCTTTACTAGGTGACAGATCAGCCAGGCTGTTATGTGGATTGGCAGACCACCAGCAGCAACAGCCTAGTTGACCAGACAAGCCTGGCCTATGGCCCAACTTGGACTGAAACAGTCATAAGCTTCTCACTCCTATGTGTGGGTTATTTGTGTCTAGTATAGTTTTTGGTAGAGGGGGCACTGTCGTGCTTCAGTCACCTCTGCTGATTTACACTTGTTGGCTACATTGGAGGTGACTGCTCCAACTTGTATTAAGCTATGCAATAAACTCATGATTTATATCAGGGAAACCGGTTATTTTCATATAGTCTGACTTGAGTCCTGGAAATGGGAAGTACAATGCCTGCACTTTAAAGGAGGGGTTTGGGATATTGGCAGTTTGGAGGGATATGTTGTGTATCTTTATATGTATATGCTTCTAAACTGTTGTATTCTGAGCACCTCTGCAAAAACAGTGATAATGTGTGAGTGAGGTGAAAGTGTTGAATGATGATGAAAGTATTTTCTTTTTGAGGATTTTCTTTCTGTTTTGGGTCACCCTGCCTCGGTGGGAGACGGCCAACTTGCTGAAAAAAAAAAAAATGAAGAACAATGTCTTTCCCTACACTGGGAAGAATGTGGAGAGCCTACAAGAGCCTTGGTATGTACCAGCATTTTGGGGAAATCTTTCACTGTCCGTCTTGTAGTACTGGAGCTTTGAGCTTGGGGTCCGACACGTTATGACCTTGGCTCACTTAGGTAAGCTGTGAGCAGAAAATTTTGGCCTAGATACGAGAGAATGGGTCTGTTCGGTGAGTGTGCCATACAAAAAAAAAAAAAAATCCTGCCCAATTCTGTCCAAGATGGGACAAACAGAATGTCACATTACTTGCACTTGTGTCCTTTTACCTAACATATTGTTGATAATTCCACCAATATTAATACAAAATGTGACCATTTGTATGGTTTAAAATACAGATTTTGTAGTGTATGTTTGAATGTTTTTTATGGTTTTATTGACAGTTTCTTGGAATCATTTGACAGAATGGAAGACATGTTACAGTAATAGAGATGATTTTAATTGGCTTCAAGACTGGAAGTAGCTTGAAATCGAACTCCAAGTTGTAGAAATATTAAATTTTTTGTCAGTATTTCAGAGGATGGGTAAGGCTCCCCCCCTGTGACCCCCCAGTCTGTTTTATAGGTTTTTAATAGATCTGATTCAGTTGGGATGCTGTAAACCATAAATAATCTTTACTTTTTTTTATTATTAACACATCAGCCATATCCCACCAAGGCAGGGTGACTTAAAAAGAAGAAACACTTTAACCCTTTCAGGGTCCGTGCCGTAGATCTATGGCTTTACGTCCAAACCGTAAATCTACGCCATGAGCTCAGCTCACTCTGATAAACTGAGAGTGGTAAATTTGGGCCTAGATATGAGAGAGTACATATATGTGGTATGTGTGCACCACATAAAACAAATCCTGCAGCACACAGTGTATAATAAGAGAAAAAAACTGAGACCGTGATTACCGATTAAAACAGCGACTTTGCAGTGTTTTTCGTATGTTTTTATAGTTGTATTTATGATTTCTTGGTCTCATTTGATAGAATGGAAGACATGTTATAGAAATAGAGATGATTATGATTGGTTTTAGTACTGGAAATGGCTTGAAACGGAGCTCAAAGTAGCGGAAATGTTAAATTTTTGCCAGTGTTCAAGAGTAAACAAACGACCTCACACGTCTAATACACGTCAGCTGGTGGGTCTAATATACATTCACAAATGTGGTGGTGATACTTATACAATTACATATTACAATATTGCATAACAGTAAATCTTCTATTTTTTGGTGTGATCGTGGGTTCTATACCCGCCCGTGGTATGGTTTGTTTAGCTCTGATATACATTCGTACTGCACCACAAACCTGAAACAAAAAAGCTATTTTCTGTATATAGATCATCACACATAGCAGCATGTGTGTAGAGAACCTAGGATAACCCAAAAAAGTCAGACAACGTGGCTTATTTTTAGTACCTGGCTTGGGTTAGCCATATATTATTTTTGGTAAATATTCGATTCCCAGCCAGGGTAGAAACATTGGGTGTGTTTCTTTACACCTGTTGTCTATGTTCACCCATCAGTAAATGGGTACCTGGGTGTTAGCCGACTAGTGTGGGTGTTATCCTGGGACACTGACCTAATTTGCTTGAAATACTCTGCATAACAAGCGGTTTTCTATATAGCCGTTTTTTTTTCTTTCTTTCTTTCTTTTTTTTTTATTCGCTGGTACTCTCCTGGCCCGGGTCTTTTCCAAATAATGGTGACCCAGCCTTGGCTCCCTACCTGGGGAGTGTCTCGAGACATAAGTCTCCCATGGGAGGAGGTACAAGTACCCCCTCGTCTTTGGGACCAAGTGTCCCCAGGCCTAGCCACAGTCCCTGCCCTCACGGGGCTCTTAGGGAGAAGCTAGGCCTCTGGTCTGTTATTATTATTATTATTTTCTCAATTATTTGTTGGGTTATCTTATTGAAACTTGGGCAATGTATGACGGAAAGATACTTCTTAATGTACACCAAAAATGAAAGAAATCAGACCATAAATAGCGGAGTTCACTTCTCAGCCATTAGTGGCCGCTTAGCGGTATATTCTTGTATGGTTTTTATGGTTATATTCTCATTTTCTCAGTCTCATTTGATAGAATGGAAGATACATTACAGAAATAGATGTGATTTTTTATTGCTTTCATGACGAAAAATACCTTGAAATTGTGCTCACAGTATCGGAAATGTTCTATTCTTTAGCGAAGCTCAAGAGTAAACAGATGACGTCACCGTCCAATACCTGTCCGCCTGCCAGTCTAAATTTCAATACGGCATCGAGAATGGGTTGACATTACAGTGGACCCCCGCATACCGTTGGCATCACATAACGTTAAATCCGCATACCGCTACATTTTATCGCCAAGATTTTGCCTCGCATACTGCTAAAAAACCCGCTCAACGCTGTTCGTCCAAGACTGGCCCTTAGCCAGCCTCACATGTTCCACCGGTGGCATTGTTTACCAGCCAGCCTCCGCGGTAACATCCAAGCATACAATCGGAACATTTCGTATTATTACAGTGTTTCTGGTGATTTTATCTGCAAAATAAGTGACCATGGGCCCCAAGAAAGCTTCTAGTGCCAACCCTACAGCAATAAGGGTGAGAATTACTATAGAGATGAAGAAAGAGATCATTGATAAGTATGAAAGTGGAGTGCGTGTCTCCGAGCTGGCCAGGTTGTATAGTAAACCCCAATCAACCATCGCTACTATTGTGGGCAACAAAAAGGCAATCAAGGAAGCTGTTCTTGCCAAAGGTTTAACTGTATTTTCGAAACAGAGATCGCAAGTGATGGAAGATGTTGAGAGAGACTTATTGGTGTGGATAAATGAGAAACAGATAGCAGGAGATAGCATCTCTCAAGTGATCATAAGTGAAAAGGCTAGGAAGTTGCATCAGGATTTAATTAAAAAAATGCCTGCAACTAGTGATGATGTGAGTGAATTTAAGGCCAGCAAAGGTTGGTTTGAGAGATTTAAAAGCTTTTAGTGGCATACATAGTGTGATAAGGCATGG